ATAGTCAGTGGTCAGGAATTATTATTATTCAATGTATATACTGCTTAATGCCAAAACAAGTTTCTAAATGGCTTACAAATTATTATTTTAAAAAACAAGCTCCATCAACCATTGCAAGGTAGACCTTCACAATGGGAGTTGTTGTAGTCTAGCAACATCTAGAGGGCCACAGGTTCCCTATCCCTGAATTATATACAATCATAGAATCTCAGAGTTGGGAGGGACCCAAGGGTCATCTTGTCCAACCCTCTGCAATGCAGGAATCTCAACTAAAGCATCCATGACAGATGACCATCCAACCTCTGCTTAGAAACCTCCAAGGAAGGAGAGTCCACCACCTCTCGTGGGAGTCTGTTCTACTGCCAAACAGCTCTTACTGTCAGAAAGTTCTTTCTGATGCTTAGTCGGACTCTCCTTTCTTGTAGCCATTGGCTCAGGTACTACACTCCAAAGCAGGAGAAACAAGCTTGCTCTACCCTCCATGTGACAGCCCTTCGGATATTTGAAGATGGCTATCATATCTCCTCTCAGTCTCCTCTTTTCCAGGCCAAACATACCCAACTTCCTCAACTGTTCCTCATAAGGCTTGGTTTCCAGACCCTTGATCACCTTGGTTGCCCTGCTCTGCTCACATTCCAGCTTGTCAAAAGCCTTCTTTCATGGTCCTAATTAATTATATGCGTCCATCAACCTTGTGAGGACAGCCCATCTCTTCATTTCACTGGAAGACAGCAACCTGTCCAAGGCCACCACAACTGGGCTGATATTTGGAACCATTCCTTCAATGTCTGCTCTCCAGCTTTCTTCCCAATTTACAGTGGGGAACGGGAGGATAAATATTAGGGTGAACTAATAAACTAGAGTAAAGCAGTGAAAATAGAGGGCAATAAAAGCATACTGTGACCCTTCGCTATAGGAATAGCCTTTAAAACTATTGTCAGCAGACCAAACTTTGGTTGTGAGTTTGGCAAGGGGAGTAGGATATATGCCTGAGCCTCCCTTCTAATTCCTGGTTCCAGCATGGATTCAATTGCTGAAATAGCCAGGCCAGCCTGGTAAGGGCCTACTACATAGTATGGGTCATTAAGATAACAAAGGGAGTGGCTCTGTGCAAGGCGCAAATGGGTAAGACTCCCTCCCTCCACTGTCTGCTAGTTAAAAATAAAGTACAAAAGGCCAGAGTGGTGAGTTGAGTTATGTGAGATAGAAGCTTGATACAAAAGCTGCAGGATGGAAAGGCAGAGAGAGAGAGAGAGAGAGAGAGAGAGAGAGAGAGAGAGAGAGCCATGCCTGATTTCTGCTGGAATATGGAGATGGGAAAGACAGAACACTCTTGGGGTGTTGATGCTGTGAAACCCTCCATCCTAGGATGAGGTTGTATATATGTGTAAATATGTGCAAATGAACCATATATCCTAAAGACACCACAGTCTCCGCTGTGCCTCATTCTGAAAGAAACACAAACCCTGGAAACCCCTGGAATCTCGCACCACTCAGATACTGAGGTAGTGTGCCACACTATACATATCTGTTCTGTACTACGTAGGTTAGATAGGACAGCTCAGACAGCACTGGTGCAATTTAATTAGTTCCAAAACAAAAATGCATGGATAAACAGAATAAGAGAGGATGCTGAAATGGTGTCAGGAACTATCTTTAGTTATTTAACATGATCCGCTTTTCTAATCACTGTGACAAAAGGAAAATTATGATTGTCCTTAAATCAAGAGATGGAATCTTTGATTTAGCCAAACTTACCTTCTTTCTATCTATCTATCTATCTATCTATCTATCTATCTATCCATCCAAGGTATTGGTATTCCACCCTCCAGCTTTTTTAAACAAAAAACAAAAAACCCAAGGGTGCTTAACATATGGATGATTGAATCAATATTTATTTATTTATTTATTTATTTATTTATTTATTTATTTATTTCTAATATTTATAGGCAGCTTTTTGTCCTAGATGGTCACAACGCAGTTCACAGAATGATTGGGCAGGGAGGTGGGGGGACTCATCCGTCAAGTAATACGTTGCTTAAACAAACAAAAACCACCAGTAAAAACAAATTCAATAAATTAGGCATGATGCAACTTACTTAAAACGCCTGCTAGACTAGAAAGGTCTTCATTAAAGCACCTAGAGAAGGGGAAAGTGTCTGATCTCAGCTGAAAGAGAGCTCCACAGAGTCGCGCTCACAATCATAAACACACAGCTCCTGGTGGATCTGAGCCATTGGGAAACACTAGCAGAAACTCCTTCAAAGATTCCATTGATCAGGGATGGATGTAAGGAATCAGGCAGTCCTTAAGACATCCTGGACCCAAGCCGTTAAGGGTCTTATGAATTCCTACAAGGAGCTTACACTTGGCTTGGTAGCGTAATACAAAGTGACAAAATATAATGCATGGAATTAACTCAGCAAAACAAGAGCACCAGATCAAAGAGGAAGAGTCAGTAAAATCTGTAGAGGACCACTGGATGTTCTGCTGGGTAAACACAAAGGCTTTCTGGGAGACACATCAGACTCTGTTGCAGGTTAACCTATCTTGGGAAGGCTTTCCACAATGAGGATGCCATATAAACTAAGCAGGACCTCTTTGATCACTATCTGCCTAACATCAAGGGACTCAGAGGTGGATCTCCAAAGATGACCAGTTAATTTGGGAGGAGGCAATCCTTTGGGATCCCATGACCTTTAGGACTTTGCTTACCATTAAATAACTTTAACTGACTTAGAAGCAGTGTAGAAATCCCCAGGACATACTTCCATGTAAATGGGACTGAATTGCCAGATACATATTTTTGTTTGGGGGGGGGCATGTGGTGCTGGGAATGGCACTCAGAACTTGTTCTCAGACTGAGATGTTCTCTGTACGCTTGACGCAATTACAGGGAGTGGAACAAAACCACCAAATGCATATTGCAATATGGCTTTGGCCAGGGCGTGGTTTCCAAAACACCTGATTGGCTGGCAATGACGTCAAGCACATGCTCAGTCTCTAGTGGATGCAGTTTCAACATCACTCACATCTCCTCAAGGAAAGTGTTAGCATAGGAGTTTCTGCCATAAGTAGCAGGATCTTAACCAACATGTGGAAACGTGAAGGGCAGTTTTTCAAACCTCATTTTCAAAACTGAACTGGTGTTTTGCTAAGAGGGCCACTTGTAAAAGCATCTTTCTTTCCAGAATCTCATTCGGGGAAGATGTTGTTTCTGAAAATTCAACTATTCCAGAAATCTTGACATTCAGCACCTGAAGCCAGTTCATGTTGCAACAAGAGGTTTGTATAATTTCATTTTTTCTAGCAAGGGCTCACAGTGCACTTGTCACGATGCAGCATGGAGTTTATTATAGTATACTTAGTTTCTGTATAAACAAAATAATCTCTAAACTGGATTCTTTCAAGCACATTGGCCTATGCATAAAAGTGGGGCCTGGTCCATTAGGGCAAATGAAGCACTGCCCCACCAAACCTCAGCTGCCTGTCTTCTTACTTCTTACAGCAAGGAAAAGATGAGGACAAAACTGGAATGAGTTGGGCTTGCCTCTCATTGGCTCCCATTCCGCCTACTGTTGGCCTCCCTGAATTCTGCTCCACCAGTCTCAATGGCCATCAACCACCACTGCTTGTACATGGTGGTAACAAAACAAGGCTAATCCAAACAGAAAATGATAAAACTCAAGATTCTAAGTATATCTTTTGAATATTAAAATGAATTGCCACAATATTTTTTTTTCCTTACAAAGACCAGACAGACTGCAAACACCCAGATGGTCACTGTGTTGCTGTCCTTAATTAGACTTAATATTATCATCATCATAAATATAAGTCGCCACAATGGACCCACTCGTATTGTTCCCTGGGCTGAGGGTAACTGTTTCCTCTCTTGAATGATTTGGTGAGAGAGAGAGAGAGAGGAATACCCTTTCATGGGTCTCTATATTCACAGGTTTACCAGAAGACTACAGCATATCAGTAAAACATTATGCTCTTTTTAAAACAAAAACAAATGAATTCAGTTACTTCCCATCAAAACATGCAAAGGGAGGGAGGACGGAGAGAATGCCAGCTACGCAAATACAACTTGTGCCAGGGAAAATGTATGTCAAAGCAATTTGAAAACACATCTGTGCAAAGGTTTGCATGCAATTACTGTGTGCGCACCTTGGAATATATTGAGTGGCATACTGGGAATACGCTGTCGTGAGTTATTTATTTTTACAGCGTGTGGAATGGGGGGGGGGGGCAAGCAGCCCACAACATTTCAGCTGGCTACCTGAAAACTAAGGAGTATGATGGACAGGAAATGTTTTCCTAGCCACAGACACCTGCACTTACCGTTAAGCAAAGGACACAACACAATTAAGCATGTTAATGTCAGGGTACCGGACTGCTAATACAAAAGTGAGGACTGATCAGGTCTATATATCTGTGGCTTGGACTTTCTAGCAATTAGTTTTATACACTGCCCTGATTTGCACATACACCCTCTCACCCTCTCTTGTCTCCCAACACTTCCACTGCTCTAGCCAGATAGCTCACTATGTTAAACTGGGCTTACTCACAGGTAAGTATGCATAAGATTGCCGTTTTAAGTCATTCTACTCCCAGGCTGTAGTACACAGTTTGCAAATAATGCCAACGAATGCATGCAGAATTTATTTCACGCAGGCCAGGTAGCAAGCAGGCTTTAGTGGCATGATGACATCAGTCACTGTCACAATAAACTGGGGCTAGTGGTTCCAGATGCTCCTTATGTTAAGGGAAGTTGTCCCTTAATACATATCCTCACAGCAACACAATACAATTGGTCTCGCTCCCCCTTGAGAAAAAACGTTCCTATAGTTTTGATGTGCACACACCTCAAAAGTTGCGCGGTTGGGTGGGTGGGTTTTATTCTGTTTTTCAGCTGTGATTAACTTACAAAATGGAAAGACTAAACGGGAAGAAGGATTTTCTCTCCGCGCCCACACAGAAGGGAACTCTCCACTCACCTCCGTCTCATGTACTACATTTCTAAAACGATCTCCTGTTAAAGCACAGTTCTTCGTCCGCCGATAAAATGAACGAGCACGCACTTTATCTCCTGCGATCAGCCATATTAACCACGCTTGACTGGGGCTGTCTGCGGATAAAGGAGTATAACAGCAGGAGACCCACTTCGTGCGCTGCAGGCGGCGAGAGGAGAATCCAAAACAAAGTTTTATTTCACTCTTTCCGGGGGGGGGGAGTCTTTGCCTCTCGACGCACCTCCTTCACACCTCCACTTATCCTGGATAGGTTTCAGGTTTCAGGCAAGAAATGAAACCGTATGCGGCGGTAGAGGGAGGGAAAGGCGACAGCGGATGGGAAGGGAAGAGCCTGCCCGGTTACTCCGCACCCCGATCTCGACCAACAAGAGAGGACACATCATCCATCTTTCTGTCTCTCTCGCTGATGGATCCTCACTCCTTTACAGGGTTGCCACGCTTCGCCGCTGAACGCGCAAAGGAGACTTTATTTTACACCCCCGTCTCGAGCAGACTAGGAATTGCACAAGGGAGGTGGCAGCGAAGATAGGTCTTTTTGCCCGCGCCCCTCCCGGACAAACACGATCGCGCTTTTTCCGAAGTGCTGCGTTCGAGAACATTTCCCCAGGCCCCTCCAGAAGGCGCTCGCACTCTGCGTAAACTGGAAACACCTTAGCTCGTCATTCCGGCCGCGCGTGGGAGGGCCGGTAATGGTTCCGTGCGATCAAGTGCACTCTGCACATGCTCCGGGTCTCACCGCTCCGAACTAGTGCAATGCGGCGCGTTGGCTTTCCAAACAGACTGAGCTCCGCACGTTAAACCCTTCCTACGACAGAAGAGGCGCTGGCCAGCCAGGACTTGGCTGGGCATCACAGTTAGCCAGCCACATGGCTCCCAGAGAGCCAAGGCACAAACGCTCTCCCGGCCTCCCAGTGCCATGGGCAGCTGCTCGACCAGGCTCTCCCACAAAGCGGTCCACTTCAGCTGTGGCTGGCTCCGCCAGCTTATGCTCTCCAGCAACTATTCCAAGCTCATCGATTTTAAAACAGCCCCCACGGCTTCCTACATCTGGCCCCAGAACTCAACACAACACAACCCACACACACACACACACACAGAGAGAGAGAGAGAGAGAGAGGGAGGGAGGTAGCTTCCAGTCACACCTGCCCAAAAACAACTATCCAATCCCCTAGGAAGGATTGCTATTTTACGCGCGCTCTTGCCTGGAGAGCAAGTGCCACTGAACTTTGTGGAATTAACTTCTGAATGAAGCTTTGTCTCCAAATGCGCCTCCCGACAGAGTACTGGTCCCCAAAACTAACCAAGTCTGTTGGCGCTCCGGCGCCTCAGATTTTTCATCCGCTCAAGCCTCTGGAATCGCGAAAGAGAAAACAAGGGATACAGAGCGACCATGTGCGTGCTTCCTCGGAAATACGTGACATGTCTCACCCTTTTCAATGGGGCTTACTCCCAGGTAAGTACGTGTGTGCGCGCGCGCGCACAGGATTACAGTATCAATATAGGTCAAGTTTACAGCGCTCTACCTGATGGGCAGACGATCGTGCTTAGGCAAAACGTAAGAGTTGCTCGCATCCCCTTGCTTGGAAGACTAGTTTGAGCGCTCCCACGACTCAAAAAACCGACAAAAGTTCCCTCTTTTTACACCCAAGCGCAAATAGCGATGCCGTCGGGGCAGAAGTCCAGAGCCCCACTTAGCGGAAGGCCTGCAAGTGCAGCAGGGCATTTTGAAATATGCGACGTATACACATAACCATCTAAACAGGGGGAGGAAAAAAAACCCCTTTCAGTCCAGAGTCTGATCACCTAAGGGCTCCACTCCACGCCCCCCCTCCCCGCGCGCATACACGTTTGCTGCTGGTGCTTTCCAGCTCGCATCACGCGCGCTTCACTTCCTCACCGCCTCGCTCCCCACGGCACGAGCGTGGATTCGAATTTCCACTTTGCCGGCTCCTAAGGATCCGGGAAGAAGCAGGCTGCGTAGCGGACCTGGTTGTGGGAAGCGGGTAACTGAGCGGAAGGCGATCTCTCTGTCACCAGCTCCGTCCGATCTTTTCTCCAGCCCCGGGACAGCTCCCTGCACAGGTTACGCCGAGCAAGACAACCAACGGCCGGCTGCACTGCACAGCCCCACCATAGATAGATAGATAGATAGATAGATAGATAGATAGATAGATAGATAGATAGATAGATAGATAGATAGATAGATACCGCGGAGGTTGGCGCTCGCTTTCCTCCCTCTGGCGGGAAGGAAAAAACCTCCTTCCTCGTGCGCCCTAGAGAGCGCAGCGTCGGCAAACCTTACCTGGCGCGCAGCAGCAAAGATGAGCCGGAATCTAGCCTAGCCGCTCCGCCGGAGGAAAGGCAAGCGCGCCGATCGCCCCATCCAAAGCCGCGCTCTTTCTCCAGTATTAGGAAACCGCTATGTGCCACCGGCTACGACTCCTCACGGGGCCAGGAGGCAGGCAGCGCCACCTGCGCCCGCCGGGTGGAGGGGAGCTGGAGGCAAAGCTCAGCCAGCAGCCGAGGCTCCGAGGAACCCGCAAGAAAGATCCGTGGAAGAGAGAGAGAGAGAGGAAAACGTCAAGGCTGGAGGGTGGGGAACGAAGGAGGGATAATGAAACCCGACGGAAAGTTCGACGGGGTCACGCGTCTCCACGAGAATCCCAGCGCGGCTCTGCTGGCAAGGGAGCGGCGGCAGGAGAGCGCCACCAGCGCGCTTTGGAAACTACCGCGAGGCTCCTTGGCTCTCCCAGCCGCCTCTCCTTCGCTTGTTTCAAGGGGCTGCGAGGCGGGCGGCCCTGATAGGGCGGCGGAGGGCGAGGGCTGCCCGCCCCCTTTCCGGGCGCTGTCACTCATCTTCCTCTACCCCACGGGGACGGCAACTTAGGCTCCTCCCCCCCCAAGGCGCGCCCACGTGGCTATGTCACCGTGATCGCCCAGTCCGAGGGAGGGAACTGTGGGGTGAGGATCAGGACTCGGAATGACAGTGGCTGGGACTCCTCTCCTGCTTGTGGGGTTCTGGTTGGCCACTGTGAGGACTGGACATGATGGGCCTAGAGCGCTCCTCTGTTGTCAGATAAAGAAATATATAATGTTGTGAGTCTGGTTAGTCTGATGGCTTGATGCCAGAGTTACTAATCCCTGGAGTCGTGGATCCAGCAAGGGTTAAAATCTAATGGAGGATTCTGTTGTTGAACTAGTCAGGCTATTCCTTTGGCATTAATGGACATATGGACTATTGTTCCTATAACGAAAGAAGTTGCCCTGTGCCAGAGGGCACATGGGTGGTACTGAGAAAAACCCGTGTGAGAGACCTTGAGAGCAGCCAGGGGGGAGAGAGAGAAAGAGATGCTTGATTTCTGCTAGAATCTAAGGCTGTCACTGGGAGAAGCAAGAACTTTTGGGGTGTTGATGCTTTGAGCCCCTGTATCCTAAACTCAGGTTGTATATATGTGTAAATAAACCATATGTCCTAAAGACACTGCAGTCTCCGCTGTCCCTCATTCTGAGGAAACCAAACATTGGGTAAGCGCCTGGAAGCCCTGGCATCTCACACTACTTGGAGATTGGGGTGGCATGCAACAGTATGGTGCTAGGAGTACCCAGGCTGAAAGGTGCTCCTGCCGCCTCTTCATTGAAATCAATACCTGGTTGATTTCAATAGGAATTTACCTACAAGTTTGTGTGCTTAACGATTGTAACTTAAAACACTGTTCAAAGCTCCATTGGGAAGGCCAGGAAGGCACATGGATTTATGTGGGTCTTTACCAATTACGTGTGTGTTTAGAATTGCAGCCCAAATCCTCAACACATGTTCAGGTGGATCCTCTTTAATCTTTTAGCAGCAGTTTTTCAGGATTTCATTTCTTGGTTATTGTTTGGCGTTTGTTATTTTCATGTAAGCTGCCTTGAAACTATATAGTGTAGGGCAGGTGTGGGGGACCTGGTGCCCTCCCATTGTTGTTGGACTACAACGCCCATCAGGCCCAGCCACTAGCCAGTGGGGATGATGGGAATTGTAGTCCAGCAACATCTGGATGGCCACAGCTGTTTCCCCTTCTCTGTCGTAGGGGATACATTGTAGGGTGTCCTTTGAAATAAGACTAGAATGTTTACTCAGATGCTAAGTCCCACTTTGAGTTGCGTAAGAGTGCACAGGACTGCAGTCCCTGCGTGAACCTTTCTCCAACGTCATCTAATCTGATTTTAATTGAGGACATTATATGCTGATGACTCACTGTAGTAATTGTCTTATTTTTATTCTAAATACCCTTTAGTTTTATTAACTTTACCTCTGCTGGTGATAGGTTCTTTTACTGATCACAACCAATGGTTGCTCTATAAGTTATTTTCTGCATTTGCAACTCTCTCTGTTAATCATTGGATAGCTTGGATTTGATAGCAAAAGTCAAGCTTGCATGGCAGAAGTCTGAGTGTGCTGCCCAATCTTAAGCCTTAAATGGTAAATTCAAGAATTAAGATTTTGCAGCATTTATAGGGTTGCTACCTGCTTTTTAAAAAATCACAGTGGTATCTGAACTGAAGTGATATGCTTGCAGTCCAGATCCGTGTACTTGAAATTTGCAAATTGCTTGAGAAGAGGGAGCAGATTGGCTAGAATAGTGTTCCCCCTCTTTCCAAATAGTTTTATATCATTTGATGTCCTCCTGAATGCTCAGTTCCATGCTGGAGCCTGGGAGTTAACAAGAGCATGAGAGAGAGAGAGAGAGAGAGAGAGAGAGAGAGAGAGAGAGAGAGAGATGACTTCGGAAGAAGGGACTCAATTGATCAGGGTACCGTTTCTCCCTCCTGGGTTGTGTTCAGGCAGAAAGAACGACTCAAATGGCAGTACAGGTGACAAGGCAGAGCAAAGCACTCCTGAAACCAATCTGCTCCCTTCCGCAGACACATGAATGAATGAATTTACTTTATTCAGTCCCAGACCAGCATAAGCAAAACATCTAAATAAATAGCATAACAGTATGAATCTAAGCGAATAATTATTAAATAAATGGGAGCAAGAACCAACCGTACATTAAAACATATACATAGAATACTTGATTAAGCATAAATAATGGGTGAATAAAAACTAAAAAGAAGGATTTTAAAAGACCAGTTAAAACAGCTACAGTGGAACCTCGGGTTGCAGACATAATCTGTGATGGAGGCATATCTGCAACCCACAGCTTTCATAACCTGCAGTGCCGCGTCTGTGCATGTGTGTGATGCGATTTGGCGCTTCTGCGCACACACGAGCGGCAAAACCCAGAAGTAACCCTTTCTGGTACTTCCGGGTTTCCCACGGTCCGCAACCTGAAGACACGTAACCCGAAGCATTTGTAACCCGAGGTACTACTGTATATGGAGTGGGGCTTCAATGATACAGAGCTAACATTATGGGCCTTCATTTTAGGACTGATTTGTAGCATAGACCATCCTTCGACGAGTATCTATCCTGGCAGTGCAGAATCTGGAGACTGAATATGTGACTTCTGGGCTTTCGTCCTGTAGTAATAGGGAGATGTTGTGTTGTTCTGAATGCCCAGGGAACTTATATAGGGTGGGCTGGATAAACCTGGCTCAAATATCCCAGACACATGTGTATCATTATTATTAATTGCCACTTAAACCACCATGCCAAGGCAATCTACACATAAAATAATTAAAAACAGTGTATATATCTGCCACGGATGACAGAGAGCATTAAAAAAAAATCCTGATGGATCGGACCAAGGGGCCAACTAGTCCCTTTAACACTGGACAGCCGGATGCCTACGAGAAGATTACAAGCCTGACATGCAGGTAACAGACCTCCCTGGTTGTTTTTCCTCAACGCCTGGAATTTAGGGATATAGCACCTCTGGACT